GAAAGTAATGATTTTAAAGGACACCTGACTTGCAGCCCTAACAGCCTTTCCCAGCTGTCAGTGAAAAGACTAGTGATGGTCTAGAAAAGATGAAAACCTCAAACTCCCCCTCCAAAAACAGTAGGATTTCTGAGTCTACTGCCAGGATCTAAAATGAAATTTCCACCATCTATGAAGCAAGAAAACACAATTAGAAAATGAAAATAGCCCTAGCCGGTTTGGCTCAATGGATAGAGCCTGTGGACTTAAGGGTCCCGGGTTCAATTCCAGTTAAGGGCACATGCCTGGGTTGCAGGCTCAGTCCCCAGTGGGGGTCATGCAGGAGGCAACCGATCAATAATTCTCATCATTTATGTTTCTATCTCTCTCTCCCTCTTCATTCCTCTCCCTGAAATCAATAAAAGTATATTTTAAAAAAGGAAAGAAAATGAAAATAGTTGCTGGACCACCTATATCATGCTTCCAGAAACAGGATGATACTTCCTAACTGAAAGTAGGTATAAAGATCTTTCATCTTCCCTCTCTACCCTAGCCGGTTTGGCTCAATGGATAGAGCCTGTGGACTTAAGGGTCCCGGGTTCAATTCCAGTTAAGGGCACATGCCTGGGTTGCAGGCTCAGTCCCAGTGGGGGTCATGCAGGAGGCAACCGATCAATAATTCTCATCATTTATGTTTCTATCTCTCTCTCCCCCTTCATTCCTCTCCCTGAAATCAATAAAAGTATATTTTAAAAAAAGAAATGAAAATAGTTGCTAGACCACCTTCCAGAAACAGGATGATACTTCCTAACTGAAAGTAGGTATAAAGATCTTTATCTTCCCTCTCTACCATGTCGAAGTGCACAGGCACTACTTTCTGAGGCAGCCAGATTACAGATTTCCCTATCCCCGCCCACCTACTTTCTGAGGCAGCCAGATTACAGATTTCCCTATCCCCGCCCACCTACTTTCAAATGAGGCAGCCCTGCTTGAGGCAGCCAGATTACAGATTTCCCTATCCCCGCCCACCTACTTTCTGAGGCAGTCAGATTACAGATTTCCCTATCCCCGCCCACCTACTTTCTGAGGCAGCCAGATTACAGATTTCCCTATCCCCGCCCACCTCTACCCACCAAAATCAATAAATGTCTATCTGAGAATTGAAATCCCCTTAAAGTAACTGGGTAGGCTCTCAGAAGGAATCAAAGCGGCCCATTGCATCCTGGGGTGTACAGAGTGGGTAAAGTAGGTTTCCAGTTGTATGTGAAACACAGTTTATTCTTGTACTATTTTTTATTATTGTATTATTTTCCATACAAACAACTGTAAAATGCTTTGGCCCCACCCTGTATAAATCCTACCACACCGCCAACTCCAGAGCTCAATAAGAAGGGACACGAATAACAAGTGTCTTTGTGGCAGTGCCCGTTGAGGGCTGCAGCTTTACCAGAATGTACATTACATCTTTTCAGAGTTTTAGGGCTCTGGAAACTGAGGGACAGAGAATATACCATCTTATTCTTTCAGAGTTGCTGTAGATGAAATTCTTCTGGTTGCTAGAAATGAGTCTAAGTCAGGATTTCTGAACCTCGGCATTATTGACATTTGGGGTCGGAAAATTCTTTGTTGTGGGTTTCTGGCATGTTTGTTTAGCAGCACCTCTGTCACTCAGGATGTTTTGTAGCACCTCTGACAACTACTTATTAGATGCTAATAGGCCCCTCAAGTTGTTTGTGACCATCAAAAATATCTCCAGATAAAGCCAAATGTCCCTCAGGCCAAAATCACTCCTGATTGAGAAACACTGGAAGAAAACAATCAAGACATAGTTGAAGAATAGAATGCTGTTGGCTTTGTTTGTTTTTATTGATTTCAGAGAGGAAGGGAGAGGGAGAGAGAGAGAGAAACATGAATAATGAGAATCATTGGTTGACTACCTCCTGCATGCCCCACACTGGGAACTGAATCCTGACCTCCTGGTGCATAGATCATTGCTCATCCAGTGAGCCATGCCAGCCAGGCTGAAGAAGAGATTGTTGAGCAGAGAAATATGACTAAGTATATAGATCAAAATGAATCACTGAGCTCTAGGCAAAATCTGTAATCACTGATATTTATTGGAAGCTCACTATATGCCAGATACTGTTCTAAGTGCTTCACTGCATTATCTCATTTAACCTCAGCCCACCCTGTGAGGTAGGTACTATTATGGTCTCCATTTTACAGTTGAAGACATGGAGACAGAAAAATAAGGCAGGGGCCCACTATTAAGGCAAATTAAATCAAATCTGATTCAATTCCAGAAAATCTAACTCCAGAGGCAACTTTCTAATCATTAAGCAATAAACTTGTACACCTCTAAAGACATTTATAAATTGCAGGGCACTTTCCCAAGTTCATCTTGCCTTTCACCCTGATTC